GTCTGTTATTTCAGGTACCAGTACACTGGACAGGAATTTAGGATACTCTTGAGACTATTTTACAACTCTGGAAAGTTCTAGGGGGAAAATAGTTGTATCTTTTGCCACAATGATCGCGAGATAAACAGCAGAAATACAGCAATCCTTTTTCAAAGTAATCTACCAGGAATGTGCATGTAACCAACCGGCCTTTAGTGTGAAAGTTGTGCGAGCTTTAACTGTGTTGGCGTCCCTGCTGTGTCAAAGGATTGACCTCGTTTATATGAAAGAGGGTGCCGCGTTTATTTCAAAAGGTCAGTCTCATCTATCACTGCATATCAAACATTACACACAATACACAAGTTAGCGTAACTGAAAGAGGCCAAACAGAAATGCAGACAGACGACAATTAAAGAAAACCATCATAGTAGGTCAATAAACCCAAAACACACATCATGTCTCTCCCATTCCCTGTGTGCGAGGTGCCATACTTGTCCCATCTAGGCCTGCTCTCCGTCTCAGAGAGGCCTCTCCTCCTCTGGGTCGGCCCTCTGCTGCCTTTGCCCCCCTGCTCAGTCTCAGAGGAGGTGCGATTGCGGCCTCTACTGTACTGACGGTGGGGGGTCCCAGAGGCCTTCACAGTGGTGACTGGGTGCCCCTGATCCTGCTGTTGACCATGGGTGCGTCTGGACTGGAAGCTCAAGTAACCTCTGGTATTTGGACTCCTCGGAGATGACGACAACGGCCCATTGCCGTTAGAGGCGAGCCGCCGCTGGTAGTGGCCTTCAGCCTGCTCATAGACGCCGCGGTGATACGGGTTTCCCTCTGCCTGCATGCCCTGGAGGACGGGGCTTCGACCAAAGGAGCCGCGCGCTTCCATGGAGGTGCTCAACCTCTCCTCTTCTGCCCCAGAACTCTCCGACTGGGACAAACGTATGGGCCGGCGCAGCTTCCCAAACTGCACTTTGTCTCCGCTGATGATGCCTCTCTCCTTACTGGGAATATTACCCTGCCTGAAGGCCCCCACTGGTATAGCATGCTGAGGGGCTCCACCTTGCTGACGGTTTGGCACGGACTGATCCATTTCTCGGTTAAAGCGGTCTCTTCTCTACTCACTTTAACGTCAGGTTTATGAGGAGAGAAAGGAAGCAAAAGGTGGAAGCTAGAGCCATTAGTTCAGTGTGAAGTTAGCGTCACAAAAGGAACTTTGCTAGTTAGACGCGTCAGCTCATAAAACAGCCAATATGTGATGCCAATGTGGTTTTGAGGGCAAAGAGACGGCGGATTGATCAAAAAGCTTCAATTTTCCAGAAAATGCCACGTTTTTTATTCATTTATTATTATTATAATTTTTTTTACACGAAAGGTTCGGATGAGCTTAACCTGTATGGAACAGAAGAATCAACCTGAGAAAGCGCAGGGCCTCATTTGTGCTTTTAGGATTATGGGAGAACGCCGCCAAAACAGTTCCTTGATCAATCTCACATTGGACTTGTAAAAAGCAAAAGCCAAAAACAAAAACAACAAAGCAAAATGTAACACGGCTAACACAAATGACCGGTGAAGATGGCCAACATTTAGTTTAGGATGTGTTCGCAGTGTTTCCTCCATATTTATTTATTTTTGAAAATCAAATTAATTACATATATATTTTTAATAAAGAAGCATTACAATATTAACCCAAATCACACAGGGTGATAATTACCCATATAATGAGATGTGGTGGAAAAGTAGAACAAGGTTATCTCTTCAAACACACAGCGGCTTTGTCCAATTAACAAGGAAACACTGTTTAAGTGTTAAATACGTCAATATGTTTTCAAAAAAAACCAACCTGTGCAACACAGTCTGGCTCACCTTTGTTTTGGCATGCTGCAGGATAATGTACGTTACCTATTGTGGAATGGAATATTTACATAATTCAAAGGAATCACATAAGTTTGAATTATACTGAAAATAATATAAGTTAATTCATTAATGACAATTAAAATGTTTCCAATAGCAGAACTGCCTTTAAACGAACAGGCAAACATCACAACCAAAAGATGCTATTTACATTTTCATGCAAAAAAAAAAAGAAAAAGAAAAAAAAGCTAACCACATAATAAAATAAAATAAAATATTCCTCCTGTTAGTGCAGATATATACTCACAGTTGTCAGTTTATTAGGTACACCTAGCTAAAACTAATACAGATTAATACAACAACCAGTCATTTCTATTCAACTTTATGGTCATTGTCGGGCCAGTTGAACTGTACTGTGTTAATCTGAGAGAGGTTTCTGTTATTTTGTCCTCTTGTTAGAGATGTAAATATTAGTTGTTCAACAGAAAATGAATAGTTTGGGTCACTTTTCAAGCAGAAATGCCAAATATGTGCTTGCACAAACTTCTTACATTAGAGTACTTTCTGTTTTTCTCTAATTTATAACAGTGTCAATGCAATGTATGCGGCTTCTGAACCATTGGTTGGACAAAACTTTAGACATTTTACATACATTTTAGAGACAAAAAGATTTATTATTCAAGAAAATAAAGTTACTCCCTGAATTCAGTTCAACAGCACCCCAAAATTACCATAAAGTTGAATCACCACCTCTCTGAAAACATTTCAACCTTCATGAATGGAGGATTTAATGCAGGTTTGCTATATTATACTGCATTCATGTTAGCTGAGTGAACATAATTAACTGGCAACTTAAGTTTAAAACACTTTCACTCCACCAAAAGAGAGCAATAAACCAGTGCATCAGCTGAAAAGCAGCTTCAATATCAACACTCACCTTCTGTAACTGGAATGGGAAGCTAATGCCCAACAGGAATAAGAGACAATACAAACAAATCGTATAAAAACACAAACCCTTTTAGCAAGAACAACCATTAGACCGTAATTTACTTTATGGGTGAGTAAAGTTGACCTCAAAGCAAACATATACATATCTTAATTAATGCCATTTTAAGACTGGTAGACACAAATAACTGTACACGACTCTAACAATTTGTCACTTTAGACTCGAGGAAATAATTCACGTATAATACCGAATTATTTGTCGCAGTTCAAATGAATGACAGTATAAATTCGTGTTGTGTTTCATCTGCTGCTTGCTCGCCTTGACACCAGCTAAAGTTAGTTGCAGGAGTTTTTTTTTTTTTTTGACAGCCGCTGCAACTAGTAGTTCCGTTGACCACGTGGCGCTTGAAAACTACAAACTCAAAATAGTTTATTGGTTTTTACAGACACTACACTTCTTGTTATGTCACAGGTGGTGAAAAATGCAACTTTTTTACACTTACTCTTGGCTTTTTTCGACGTTTTATGGCTTGGTAACCGTCTCTTGGCGTGCTGCCTCGGCTGTAATCCGACGGGAGAAGAGAGCTTGCGGTGTCGGACCGCCTGTATTGTTCAGTGACAGAGGGGGGGACAAACGACGGCTTTATCGACGATTTCCACGTTTAATTCACGTTTTTAAAAATATAATAACATGAAAACACACAGAAAAACAAGTTATTTTTTATGGATACTGAAGATGAAAATAGGTCCGTGATTTCGCTGCTATTTACATCGTACGTTAACGTTGGTATGATCCATTTTGACTAAAGACTTCATTTCCCATGATTGAAAGAGACCGGCAGTTAACGGGGAGCTGTGAGTGGTCATGATGTTATGACAGGCTGTGGGGCCCAGACCCGTACATATGATGTGATTGTATATGTTTGTTTTGAATAATGACACAATGTTGATTTAGTTTTTTGTCTTTCTAGTTTGACAAGTTAACCTCTCTGACTACATATCTTAAAATCGGGGAATATGTTAAACTTTTTAGGTTTAGCTCAGGTTTAAGCTTCAGATATTTTTTTTCTCCCTTGTCCTGCAGAGGGCAGACTAATCGAGCTAATTTAAACAGACAATAAATAATGTTGAAAAACTATACAAGGCTGCTGAATATTAATAATATTTTAAATTGACCAGGACACAGACTAGATCACTTGTGTTGACCTAGGTTGATATATTTTCAGTTTCATCTTAATTTAGCTGGTTTTCCGTGTGTCTTTGGTAGATTTATTTTACATTTATTCATATAAGACTATCATTATTATTATCACAAGGAGCAGTAATGGTAGTATTGGTATTGTTTACTGTTGTTTGCAGGTTTACAGGTTAACAGTTTTTTTTACTATCGTAATTGCAAAGTAGGGCTAAAGGTGATTTATTGACTGTATAATGTAAAATAAAACAAGATAGAGCTTTATTTATTCTGGGAAAAATTATTGAGCAGCAGTTGCTGTACAAAGTAGGAACAAGTGCAAATATAAAATATCAATAAGGCGCAAATACAAAATAAATATAATGTCAAAAAAATATAAACTGATTATAGTGAGGATCATAAAAATATGAATGGGCAACACAAGTAATAAAAGCGTTTGATCCCAAGTTAGCATTGCAGTTACACAAAAACAAGGTTTGTTTGTCATGTCACTATAACTCAATTCACCAGGGGTAATAAACTACTGTCTACACTACCAGGAGTAGAGATCAAACCCACAAGGACAACAGTACACTGGACCTTTCTGCCATCCTGGTTTACAATATTGTGTCAATCAGAATTTTCTTGACTTTTCATCTTTATGATGAAACAAGCTGAACAACCAATAGCCTACTGAAAAAAAACCCCACCTGCAATGTTCATCTTTACAGCTGTATGTGAAAACCTCTAAAGAAACATCATTTTAAAATCAGTGGCATGAGCTCTCAAGTATTTCCTATGGAAGATGAATGAGATACTTCTGACATCTTCTTCAGAAATCTGACAGAAGTCAGAAAGCTGGCCTCAAGTAAAGGGCAGATTCTTATCATCTGACTTGTGCAAAAGTAAAGCATCTATCATGAGAAGATTTGAACCCACGGGGACATCATAGTCAGACCATCTTTTTTTTTTTTTTTACACTTAATCACTCTGGTTGACAAATAATTTAACACTTTCCTCTTATCTTTTCTTATCACTTTTTCAAATTAAAGCCAAGGCTTGTACCAAAAAGAAGGCATCAGTACACTGCAGCTCGGACTATTTATGATTCATCCTTTACAGTGGATCTCCAGGGCATAAGGACAAATCTGCATAATTAAAATGCGTAAAACATTGTTCTTTTACTGGTGTTCTTGGAAGGAGTTCAACAACACTACTTTCACTGATTGGTTGATTTATTCCTCCATTATTTTCCTACCCTAGTTTCACATTACTTACTTGTGATTGCATTTCTTGTGCATTATGTATTTCCCATATCTGAGTGATACCGTATAATATGTCTGCTGGCTTCTGTTCTGTATATTGATTAAAGGGTTTTAATGTCATATACAATTCATTTAGATAACCCCTTGAGTGCAAAGCCATCTCCAGATATATGAGTGCACATCTGTCTGATCTAACAGGATGTAAAGAGTTCAGTGACTTCCTTTAACTTTAAGAGTGATGATTTGTTAAATAAACCTTTGATATAAGTCAACATCAGAAGTGAAAACTACTAATTATATGAATGTGCATCAGTCACATCAGAGAAACCTTGAATTTGTGAAGTCTTTATGCTGTAAAATTAGCATGTGCTGCACTGACTACAGATGAGGCACTCACTTTGTGGAGCCATCAGAGGTTGCTAAGCTCAGTTGTCAAACCAAATAAAGGTCATATTCTAGCATTGCTAACAGGTGTGAACAGAATTTAAACATCATTTAGCTTTTCATTATCAATCAATCTCTTGATTATTTTTTCAATTTGTCTGACAAATGTGTCTGACTAACAGCTCAAAACCTAAAGATATTCCATTTACAATCATATAAGACAGAAAAAAGCAGCAAATTCTCAGGTTGAAGAAACTGAAATCACAGAATATTTGGCAGTTTTTGCTCGAAAAAATGAATGATCAAAATAGATGCAGATCCGTCAACTGACATTCAACAATCAATTAATCGACTTATCGTTGCAGCATAGTCTCATGATGTGACAATTACCAAACACTAAAGTAGTAACATTTAATCTTCACTTTTCAGAAGTCACTCATCTTTTCAGTTTAGACAACAGAGTACACACTTAAAATCACTGCCGTAAAAATTTATCCAACTTTTGGGTCAACTTTTCCAATGGGCTGTGTTTGACACTCAAACTCAAGAGTCACCTTAAAACTGTCACAAATGTATTGTTAGTTGTACAAAACAAGATTAGATATAACAGTAAAAACTGCTAGGCTAACACATATTATTTTAGTTTAAACAGTTTAAAAAGAGTAAATTATAACAGTTCACTGAACTGGCCCACTCTGCACAGGCCCTGGGCGTAGTTTGGGCCCTGGGCCAGAGCCTCTGTTTGAAGTGGCAATATTTCTTGTTGGAAAGTCCATTAAACAACTACAAAGAAATGCAAAACAACCACAAACAGGGGCAAAAGGGACACACAAAGAGACACGCAAGAAGAAACAACCAGAAAGAAATGCACAATTACTACAAAGAGACGTGAAACAAACACAAAACAAGAGACACCAACTGACCAGAAAAAGACACAAAACAACCACAAACAGGAGCAGAAGAACCACAAAGAGATACACAAGAAGAAACAACCAGAAAGAAATGCACAATTACTATAAAGAGATGTGAAACAACCTTCAAGAGACACTAACTGACCAGAAAAAAACACAAAACAACCACAAACAGAAGCAAAGGAACAAGAAGGAGACATAAAAAACTCTCAAAAAGAAACAAAATGATCACAGAGACACAAAAATAAACACAAAAAGACACAAAACAGTTACAAACAGGCGTAAAGCAACAACATAGAGATGCAAAAGTACTTCTAATAGGTGGAAACAACTGCAACAACGACTGCAGACCAAGAGTCTGGGTGTTGCTCCTGGGTAGAAAGGGTGGGGGGCCTTTTACATTACATGTCTTTGTCTCATATCCGTCAATGTTCATCTGTCATGTCCAAAAATAACACTAATACTGGATCGAAACAATCCCTTGTACTGGGTACTGGTCAATGGTTTTTGTGTTTGTGCTACATTAACCCCAATTTTGACTGGGGGAGGTATTTTCTGTGTACTGGAACTCATAAATGAAAATCTATCAGCAAACAGAAACCCAGAGCTTTAAATCCTTTGCCTCTCTCTCCCTTTTGTTAGTCTTTCATCATGTAAAGCAATCCCAGATCAGTGTGGGTTAGTTAAACAGCAGCATCCTTGTGCTGTTTACTGATGTCATCTTTATAGGAGGTTCTGGAAATGATGTCTTAAATTTCAAAAGGTTTATTTTTGCTTCCATTTAAGGCTCCCAAAGTATAACATTTCTGTATACATGGTAAGGAGAAACATACTTGTATTTTTTCATGTATTCATTCATTTGTTCCATCTTTATTAGTTGAAACGATTATCGATTAATTGACTGACAGAACATTTGGTGACATTTTGACAATCAAAAAAAATGTTTTAAGCAAAAATGGCAAACATTCAATGGTTCCAGCTTCTCAAATGTGAATATTTTCTGTTTTCTTTTATGATAGTGAAACTGAATATCTTTTGGTTTTGGACTGTTGGTCAGAAAAAACAAGATGTTTTATTATGTATCTAATTGACCAAACGATTAACTGAGTAATCAAGAAAATAATCAGTAGGTTAATGGATAAGGAAAATGTTATTTTTAGCCCAAGTATCAACCATTAGCTTTATCTGACCTCTGCTTTTGTTCAGTTTTGACATGCTTACAGTACAACCAGTTCTAGCCTGTGAAAACAGCAGCCTGAATACATTAGCTCCTGAGGCGATCAAACACAGCTGTCTTCACTTTATACAACATGCTTACTGTTGGTAGATAAATAGGCAACCCTGCTCTATAAAATTGAAAGGAGCGATCAAACAGGACATTCAAAGCCTTGTTTAACTGCAAACAGCTAATATGTTTGAAAAATAAGCCATTAGCCAACAGGCATGAGTGTATCACACAAACCTTTTGTTACCCTGCGTTTGTGAATGGGTTACAGTGTTTTAGGGTTAACTTTATGCCCATGCTACAGTGATTACTGAACCCTGATAACATGCTTGCTTGTAACCAAGTGGTTGTTTCATTTTAATTCACACCTGGAGAGTGACAAGAACGATTGTATTCTTTTACTGTATGCAAGGAGCTTTAGCTGAACACCTGACGTTAAATGTTCCTGTAAATTAATCACTAAGTAACTCCGGAGGAGTAGTTGAAGGTTGAATCCTGTGTTCTTGTTCTTAGGAACCTATTCTGCAGGGAAGGGTTGTGCTTTTTTAGTACTGGCCTGCTCTACATTCACACCTGGAAACACATTGCCCCATTTGTAAATTACTGACCATAAACCAGCTCCAGTGTAGCAACAGTGAAATGTATCTTATATGTTCAAAGATACCGTAGTGTTAACATTATTCTGTCCTTCCAATCATCCCAACCCATCTTGTTCCACCGCTTTTAGCTGTGGCATCATCTGCGTTTTTCAAACAACTAATCACTGACAGTAGGAGACCTCCACGGGCAAAGAAAACAAAAACTATCCTTTTATAACATGCCCAGTGGTTGAATGTAAGTACATTCACTCAAGTACTGTACAAATACGTGCAACTTTATACTTTTATTACTTTTCCACTAGATCTCAGAGGCAAATATTGTATTTTTTACTCCACTACATTCGTCTCACAGGTCTAGTTACTTTTCAGATTAACATTTTTTCATACTCTTACCCATCCCTTAAAAAAACATGGATCTCTAAATCATGAGAGTTTTAACGTTGTGATAAACTGAAGGATTAGGTGCTCCTTTAAGGGTTGAAAAAATTATCCTAAAACTGACACTGATACAACTCACTCCCCATCATTTTCACATGGCACTGGACTGTTATATGTCTCAGACAATATCAGGAGAGCAAAAGCAACATCCACCAAAGTGAGAAGCTAAGAGGAACAATGTTAACAGCAACAACAAATTAATAAATGAATAAATTACGTATCTTAAGAGACCATGTCTAACTTTGACCAATTTGAAGTTTGAATTACCTTCACTGCGTAAAAAGCTCTGAAGATCCACAACAAATCTAACATGAGACAGAAAATGGCACTAAACTTCTGAATGTTGAGTGTAATTCTCTTATTGCTTTTTTAGTTTTTTAGTGTCTCTTACTCTTTTGTCGTGTATTATTATTGTTAAAATGACAATGATGTCCTCTTGCCATCACATTGTTCCTGCTCACAGCATTGTACCACAGTCTGTTTAACCTTGAGGGCCTTCGGTCATAAATGAGCAGCTAGGCCCCTTCTAACCACCCATTCCACTCTTCTTTTCTTTTGTATAGCCTCAGGTTTCCTGTGTGGTAATATGATTAAACACAAATTAAATTAGGAATGTGCACCATTTGGGCACATATCAGCTGAGATCATTGATGTTTTAAATATAGATCTTGACACTGGGGCACAAGGGTCTCAATGTCAGAAAGTTAATCATGAATGAAAATTTATCAGCAAATAGAAACCCAGACTCATCAGCTTCAGATGTTTTATTTCTCTCGTTCCTTTGTTGGTCTTTCATCATGTAAAGCAATCACAGACCAGGTGGTAAAAAGCCACATCACAGGAGTGGATATCATTCCAAACCAAATTATAATTGAAAAATTTGCTGTCGGGCTTCTATTGACCCCCTAATTGTATTCTGTTCAGTGTGTAAGTGGCCTCACATCCAAGTTCCAATCGAGGTTTACCAGAACTCTTACGTTGGAATAATATGTGTGTTATGATTAGCTGATGCGACAAGTGATTATTTTTATTGTTGATTTATCTGCTGATTATTTCCTCTATTAACTGATTATCATCTCGTCTATAAAACATAAGCCATCAGTGATAAATGCCCATCACATTATCCTATTTTTCTACTCAGCAGTCCAAAACCCCCAAATATTCAATCCTTTTCTTTGTGAAATGAGGCCACACTTTGGACTATTTCTTTCTCTTTGCCATGGCTCATTATTGTTTCAAGTCTCCAGCAGTTAAGACGCAGGAGTTTGATGTCATTATTTTTGCACAACTGTCAGAGAAACACACTGGCACTGACAAAAGGAATTGATAAGCTCTGAGGCATACGATTCTGATAAATTGGACAATTTGGAACCAGGTTCCCTTAACTGGAACCAGTTCTTAACTGGAACCTGTTCTTGATTCCCATCCCGATACACTGTTGGGTAGTTTAATCTACAACAATGCATCATATGTGTTGTGTGTAAAGTCTTAATCTGCAGTAACTGTAGTTTGCAGAAAAAATGTGCAATATATTTATTTACTATACATTTATTTATTTTTTATATTTATGATTTGCAATGTATTTAATAATATTTGCCTCTGAAATGTGGTGCAGGAGAAGTATTAAGTGTCAGGACATATTGAGTACCTCAATACTGTAAGTACAGTACTTGAGTAAACTGGTTATAATTATTAATATAGCCATTGTTAAATATTAACTCATCTGCATGCATCAGGCTGTATACAAATAAAGGGCTTTTTTGAGACTGGTGGGCGTCTGGCAGTCAACAACATTCACAGAATACATTTTCTGACTTGAAGTAAAGCTATTGGCTGTTTTATCACTGTCATCTCTCTGAATGGAGATTTATATTCACCTGATTTTGAGAGCAAGAGAGAGAGAGAGAGAGAGAGAGAGAGAGGGCAGATGTGCGACAGCAGCTCTTCACTCCAGCAAGTTTGCAGCTCGGGGATTCATCTATTTTAGGTTGACAGAGTACATTTTCATAGCAGGAGGAGGAGAAGTGAGTCTTTAAGAGGCACAGAGGAACAAATAACCTGGATTTGCGCTCACATCATCATCAGCATCCGATGAGGGATATAAAGAAGACAAATAAGAACATGGAAATGTGTTATAAAGGGCTGCCAGGACGACCGGAGAAATTCATACTCCTCATCTTTTACCTTCAACTGTGGTACAGGCCAATAGTAAGTGACATGTCTCTTTTATCATTTATACAGTCTTCCGATGGGACAAAATACTCTCATCCATGAGATTGATTAAAAGCGGCTCAAAGTGCAGCTGAAGTTGACCCTCTTGCTGCTGCATTTTACACCCGAAAACAACTGCTAATTAGGAAACGATCTACTTAATTATAGTCTAATGACATCTTTATTGCAGTGCTATTACCATTATTATCCTCTGTCCTTCACTGGCTCTTTGGAGCACACACACACACACACACACACACAATTGGACAGCAAACGTCCTCATTAGGCTGCTGACGCTAATTAGTGATTATCAAGGCTTTGCGACCTGCATCTATCACCGCCATCTGTCTGGATTCAATCAAAGAGAAAATCAACAGGGGAAAACAGGGGTAAGACATAAAAGTAAAAAAAGAGGCTAAAATTGGGTGACTGCTCCAGATGTTGGTTGGAGCATGTATTTGCAAAAGGCATATTGGCAAGAAATGTCCTAAATTCTTATCAAAATTATTACTATTTGATGCGCAAAATATCAGCTTAACTAGATTTAATGTTTTAAAAGCAGGAAAACTGCAAATATTTATATTCATTTTGGACTTTTAGAAATTTGGGCATCTTCTTTCTCGAAAAATAGGCTACACCTTGACGACTGACAGCGACAGAGAAGTGATCTAAGAGGTGGGTCTGTTGTTGATGATGTTTTGTCCATTAGGCTGTTCCCTCCACGTTTAGCCTCCATCGCTACACCCACTCACCCACAACTCCACCAAAGCAACAAGCCGAGGTGCGTTTGGCTTGCGGTGCATGCGTCTGCTTTACTGTAGCCTATACATAACTATGTGCTTTCGTATTATCTTTTCAGGCTGAAGCAATTCACCCGGACTGCGCCATCATCTCAGAGCACCTGAGGGCTCGGGAGATTTGTAGTCAGACGAGGAGAAGCGAAGCGCAAAACCAGACCGACCACAGCGGTGGGTTCATGTGTGATGCTGCTGTTGCTTTGTTGTCTTTTCTGCGCACACAAACACACACTTTGTGAGAGTACGCCTTGGTGCAGTGCCAGAGGTTGTTTTTTTTATTTAAAAAAAAAGACAGGAATGTGGGCTAAACTTAAAAAAAGGAAGAGTTTGGAGAACACACACAGGCAGAGATAAAGGAAAATGATCTAGGTTAAACTTTCTGAAGGACCTGTTAGTGCTTTCTCTGTGGTATCATATTTTATTTTGTGAGCACAGTTTTCAGTTCAGGTGTTGACTCTAGGGCCGTCATGATTGACAGCACACAGGAGTATCAGTAAGTCAACTCATACAACATCAGAAAATAGTGGAAAATGATCATCAAAAGATCTCAGAGCCCAAGGGGACATCTTCAAATGACCTGTTTTGTCCAAAATTGCCAAATATTTACATTACTATTATGTCAAAAAAGCAGCATGGCTGGAACCAGTGAACGTTTGACATTCTTGATCAATCGATTATCAAAATAGATGCATGATATGATCAAAAGTGATTAAACAACAGTTTGTTTCACTTACAAGAGGGCTTTTTTTTAAATGACCAAAAAGACAAGGAGTCTGAATCTTTAGATAGCCTATTAGATATTGATATTGGTGTATCTTTTTATTTTATTTTTAAATGCAGCACTGTTTTAGTGGAGGTGGATCAGCAAAAATAGCAAAACAAACAAACAATAAAAACAATTACATTTTTAAAACAGAGATACAGCACAATACAATACGTATAGTTAAAGGTCCAATATTTTACACTTTTCTGGTGTTTAATTTAAATTGAGATATTTGCAAGAAGATATATTTGAGGTTTTAAGTACCGAAAAGGAAGAACTTTTACTTGTAATTAAGTATTTTTTTTACTATTGCTACTTTTACTCAAGTAAATGACCTGAATACTTCTTCCACCTCTGCTGGGTGGTGGGTGTCCAAAAAATAAGGTTACTGCATTCGTAGCAGCAGAACACAGAACAACTGTGTGACACCCCCCATTTCACTTTGATTTTCCTGTGTGGGATCAATAAAGTTTCTTATTTGTTTTGAAAAGACTATAGAGAATGACTTAAATCTTTAATGTGCATGCACTGGGTTGTAGGCTCCATCATATTGATCTATACCCACAATGACACCAGTTCTTCCTCCTGGTGAGGTTTCACCTGCTTGTCCTTCCAATCTGACTCATTTACTTCATTATATACGATTGAACCTGGCGTCTCCCAGAGGGCCACACTGCATGTCTTTATAATGGACTGCGCCACTGAGGCCAAGCTCCTCTCCACTTCATCAGAAACTGCCCTAGAATAACAACACTCTGACAACTCCCCTCAGCGAGAGTGATGAACTTTAACATTTCCAGACTAATTTGATCTTAATTACCCCCGATGACTCTGCGACACAGCGTTTTGGTGCAAAGTTGTTATCTGCTGCTCATTACGCAGATAAAAGTCTGTTGATGGACTTCTCTGTCGGAGTAGGCGTGTTTCTGCGTCCATCAGTGTGCTACTAACCACGCAGGTGACATGTAATCATGCAGAGAAATGATCATCACTCCTGGTGATAATAGGCATGGGCGGATCTAGAGAAATATTAATGGGGTAGCAAGAAGGTAGCAAGGAGACTTTTATATATGCTGATTTAATCACACATGTGTCAATATTTGCTTGGAAAAATCCCCAAATGAAGATATTTTAGCTTAAAAAATTGCTTTATTTAGGCCAAAGACACATAGTCTAAAATGTGGTCATAACAGATAATTAAATTATATGTGTTTATTTCCATTTTTTAACACTGTATTTGACACCAAACTGGGGTGGCTGGGCATTTTTTAGCCACCATTAATAAACATTATATAAACATATGTTAAACCACATATTATGCAGTTATAAGTTATAATAAAGTGTCAATAAATAGGGTTTTTACAGTTACAGATTCACTTATGAAGACATATTTTGCATAATTACAACTCTGTATAATCTTATCATTTGTTATTTGTTCATACAGTATTTATTCAGTAGTAATTCAGCGTTGCAATGTTGCAATTTGAATGCTGAAGGTTTTAATGGATTGTACACAGTTAGACATGATTTTTGTGTCATTATTGCAGGTGCAAGTAGTTTAAAATGGTGCTTCAAATGCCTTCAAACCCAGAAAAGAATACAATTCTTTAAATCACTGAACACCTGTAATTTTCAAAATATAGAAATTATATAAGAATAGAAGTAGTTTTAAAGTAAAGCCGTTTAAAACTGAAACAACCAGATGCACATTAAACATCACAAGTCTCAACTGAATGCTGGTTGCTTCCTTATCAGAGCGTCAGTTCCTCCCTCAGGGGTGCTCTCACTCATTCTGCATCCAAAGTAATTTCTCACGTCATTATTAAGCCTAAATGAAATCCCATTAAGTGGTTGAATGTATAGCCTCATCTAGAGCTATCTAAGGGCTAAGAATAGAGAACTGCTCCGTGGGTGACAAAACCTTTTAGTTGTTCTGAAAGAAAATGTTTGAAAATTGTCATTAATGTCTTGACATGAATAGCTAGACACACCAGAAAATATAGGATTATGGTTTCCCCCCATGGTAGTTCAAAATTCCCCATGATTAAACCCAAAACAAAGATGTCCCAGTGAAACAGTGTACGTTTCCATAATTCATGGTTTTCACTGCACTCACTGTGGCTTTTGTTACATGAATGAATGGGGACACATGTTACTTTTAACATAGATCATATAATTGTGCATCTTTCTTTGGCACCTCTAATCTCAAGGCTAAAAATGAAATCTTTTCATAATCAGCACATCACAGTTGTCACATCACTCTCAGTGTCTGCATGACTCAACTGCAGAGATCTGAATTTAAGCACAGGAGCAGGAACTCCCTCGTGGGAATATTATTCCACTACTTGACAGACAGTAAAATTTTCATTTGCAGCACTAAGAGCAATCCAACAAACAGCTTGAAGCAAACAACCTAGACATAAACTTTGGTTCAGATACAGTGCAAAGGACCCGACCTGTTAAAAGGCTTGGGTATGCAGCAGCATTTAGTTTTGTCCACAGCATTGACTGTATATAAAGATGGACGACATGACAGCTTGCCGAAAGTGAAGCCACCTATCTTGATCGCCCTGTGGTGGTTGGTTGTAGTATAGGTCATATAGCCTTCTAGTTCTTATCACGCCGATATATGTTCAGATGTAATCTTTTTTGTTTTAATTAGTTATTTGATACTATAAAAAGAATATTTCATGTCATGACTGACAGCTGAGCCCTGCCTTGAGTCGGCTGGGTGTATGAGCGGGACATTGATACTGCGGTCGTCCATCTTTATATATGTCAATAATCCACACTTAAACACCAAAACAATAATAAACAAGATGAAGAGTCTAAAGAATGGATGTATAAAGGAGAATTACATACAACATTGGAGGTGGGTCAGCAATCATCATTATCATCTTAATCTCTTTTAATTTCTGGCAAGGTAGATGTTAAATCGACAGTTATCGTTGAGGTAAGAAAGTCATACGTACACCACTCAGGTGCAAGGCTTTCAGAAAAAGGCATCAATGAAAAAAACAGTAAAACCTGCACACTCCCTGCCACAAAAAAAATATTTTAATAATGACAGCATTTTGATGCCAACCACACTCCCTGCCACAAAAAAAAAAAAAATTAATAATGACAGCATTTTGATGCCAACCACCAGTGGGAGAAAAACCTTCCTCTTAATTAAAAATAACATTGCTTGTGTAAAATAACAATTTGGGAGAATGCCATGCAAAACTAACCAGCTTTGTTCTTAAAATTAAGGGCAACACAAACCAACAGCATACGATGCACATCAAAACACCCACAGCCATTATTTTCTGTGTGCCCACATACTGTCACCATGTCAGAATATACTGTGTTAATTCTGAACGTCAGTGTGCAACAACTCTCCAGGAAAGCAGCCATTCTGCTTCTGGCACCTTGGCCACTGTGTGTGGAGCATCCAGTGTGTCCTGCGGGGGTCAATTGATGGCCAATAATGCAACACTATGTAACACAGGGCTGGTGTGTGATGCACTTTGTCCGACTTAGTCTGCCACCTTATCATCAGACCTTTTTGATGAAGTTAACACTTTTAATTAATTAATCTGCTGCATTGTTGCCGTCTCCACCAACATGAGCAAAATCCAATCGTACAATCTGCCAGATAGATTTCTATAGAGCAACACCTAAAGTTCAGTTTGGTAATTAAATCACGTCTACCTTGAGCTCTCCTGTCCTTCGGTGACATCAATTCTGCAGCCGGGTCTGTACAAATAACACTGCTGTTAGGTTTTGTTTGTTCACCAACCAAAGTGCCAATAAACGTGCACCGTGTCTGCTGTGAAATACTATTTGGAAGCGGTTTCCTCTTGTGAATAGATGCTTGTTTTTCTATTTGGATTAAACCCATCTGTGTAAACCTGAAGAGGATCCTCCCACATGCAACATGCTTAAGAAAATGTTTCCCCTCTCACCATATCTAAAATTTAGAAGCCAACATCCAAATCTGGCATTAACCACAGTGAAATAAGAAAACCACAATACTGCAGAATAAAATCTCTTAATCCTTGATACCAATTACCCCAGCACATCTATTTTCTCACTGTATAAAGAAACTCTTCCTAAGCTAAACCCCAACACATAGTTAACTGCAAGCTTGTAACCACATCCTTTATTTTCAAGCCTGTACTACTTTAATCATCTTATCCACAATGGATTTCCTCCCTTGACAACAAGATGCACTTAAGGGGGTGGTTTAAAATGTATTGTTTTTTTTAGGTGTGATTAATTGTGGCTTAGTGTGGGATGGAAGCCCACAACAGAGAGGAAATGTCCTTTATATTGAGTGCGGACATGGCCACACCAAGAGTTTCAACTAAGCACTCTAAAGAGGACAGGAGTCAATTTTTCACAGCAGATAGTTTGGCCTTTTTCA